CCGAGTTTAAAGATTCACAAAATTTTCCTGCATTTTCGTGGAAATTTTTGTAATTTATGAGAAAATAGCAGTGTAGATGGATAAAGTCAAGAGTGTGCGCAATGCCATTTTTGTGCAATTCTGGGATGTTTTTTTAAGTAAAAATAAGTTGACGTGTACATGGTTACTGTGTATGTGCGATTCTGAAAAACGTGGCAAGGAGTTTGCGATTCTGCACTTTTTCCCAATTTTGCAGTTAATATTTGTCATGATTAAGCAGTTTTGTTCCATAAAATTTCTAGCATAAGTGTAATTCGGCTAGCAGATTGATGGAAAAAGTGTTGAGTAAATAAAAAGAAAAGAAACATGTCTTTACTTCATGAAGACAAAATGGCGGCGAAAAAAATAGAGGGTTGCTGTAGCAGAGTTTGTCGCCAAATATTCATTAAGTTACCATAATCCAAAGATTAACCCTATTTTTTTCCTTTGCCAGGTAAAATTCCACTGCCCCATGACTGTTTTGATCAAATATCAAGTCATTCTGACTGGCAGTTTTAAGGTTACAGCATTTTGAAATTGCAACTTTAATTATAAACCCTCATATACTTTTTTAATGGTAAGATTACTTTGGAAATAATCCACTACTTGCTGTTCTGTACATGGCAGAGCTCAAATTTTAATCACTTTTTTGAAAACGCAAGAAGAAAACACAGTAATAATAGTTAATTTATAGCCTTGTTCATAAAAACAAAGTGTAGCGTATAGCAAATCAGTTGGGCTTAAAGTGCAGATTTTATGAGTGTGTTGTTACGTCATACATATCCATTATTGGTGCTAAATCATGCTGCTTGGCAGTCGACAGGATAACATGTTAAGCACCAATCTACCTTATATTAATACCATTAATACCTATGAATGGAACTGAGCATAACTTTTGAATGTTGCATTTTAACATATTCAAACGGTTAGAATAGATTGAAGGGTGCCCCTTGTATTATCGCGAAGTTGTTGTTTCATTTATCGCCACGTTGTTGTTTCATAACCTGAGTAGTTGAATGTTATAGAAACCCTATTATGACATAATCGATTGCGTGTTGCCATAAATTTTGAATGATGGGAAAAATATTTGTAAGGGCTTGTGGTGTGTGTTGGTTAGGAAGTACATAGCTTGTCTTGTGGTTTAGACAGTAAAATGGCTGAATGTTGCAAGACTAATTTGGAATTTCTGTACAATTTGGAACGAAAGGGGAAAAGTGCATTAATTGACTGGTGTGTAAACGAAGGTTTACTTAGTAGCCATTATAAATGCCCTGTTTGTATGAAGGAAATGCGTATGATAGAACGTCGGAGGATATTTTTTACTCATATTTTTGTGAATTTATACAGCGACGCCGATATACGGATTCTAGTCCAGATAATTTTAGAAAATTTTTAGATGCCGTTAAGGAATTTTGTGTGCCACAATTTGAAGGACTAGGAAATTTCTAAATAAGGTAAGTAGATATTTGCTTTGCGTAATGCTTAGATGCATAAGATGAATTTCCTTTTTCATGTTATTTTATTATTTGATTTAAAATGTAGTTTACTGAGATTTGTGTACGTTTTGTTTGGCTCTACTGTAGAATTGGGTGCTCCTTTGAAATGAACACAGATCGATGTGTATATGGACAAAGTCAAGGGAGTACACAATGGCAAGTTTGTACAAGTCTTCGATGTCTTTTTAAGTGAAAATAGGTCGATATGTACATGGATACTGAGTTTGTGCCAAAAATCGCCGCTACACGAAGACAAAAAAACAAGTCAAAGAACCGCACAAACTCGGTATCCATGTACCGCCAATTTGTGCCAACGGGCACCCATAAATATGTTTTTACCTATTGAAACTATAGCCAACAAATTTCTCTTAGGTACCAATCAACTACAGAATTCTACTGAAAATAACATATCCAGTTTTCAAAACATTGGACCATAATTCTATAGAACTTTAAAGAAGTTCCCTTGCTCTAATTTTCAAGAAAAAATCCTACAGAACCTTTTAAGTGTTAAAAAGCATTATCAAATCTACAATGTTTTCTTTTGATTAAAAAAAAAAAAAAAAAAAAGTTAAATTTCAATTTTGAATGGAGTTTTTAAACCCTGTCTAAATTCTGAAATTATCTCTGACACAGAGAGGGTGAGAATAAAAATTTTCAGAAGAGATGTAATTTTTTGGATAGTAAATAATTATTAATTTCTTTTTATTTTAATAGTTCACGCTTTGCGGCACTGTATATCCGGTCTGGACATACCTAAAAATTTCCTTTTATATGCACAGAAAAATTGAATGAAAAAGTATTTATAGGTTACTCTGAACTTTCTTTATTTACAGTAGATGGCAGATCAACACAAACCAGTCCATATATTTTAGCCATGTTGAGTTTTTAAAGACCCTCATTTTTCAAAGAAATCTTCCAGATTTTTTTCAGGGTATAAAAGGAATTGTTTGAAAAGAAATTTCTATGTTACTTGTTTAGCTGTATGCTAATCTCCTTATTCAATATTAGTTTTAAATTTTTACCCTGAAATCTTGCTTAAAATCAAACGGTGAACCCTAGGTGTGCCTAGACCGGGCTCACCGATAATCTAGGACAACTGAGAGTCTGTATTCTTTGTTTCTCCGCATCTCATCATTGGTCAGTTCATTGACAATAATGCTCGTTTCAGCACTCTTTTCGAAGCTCTATTCTATTCAAAGTGTGCCACTTTGGGCACACCCACTGAATGAAAACGATATGTGCTATCTTCACAAAATTTTACTTGTGTACTCCTCTAGGCCTAATTAAGACTGCCTACCTTTTTTTTTAAAAAAAAAAACTCCGACTTTAAAAGGTAGCGTGCCGAAAAGGGTTAAAATAATCATATTTTAAATAAAAAAACAGTTCTTTTATCAAGGGTCTACACACAATAATTAAAAGCATTTATTTCAGGAATTAAAATTATATAATTAACAGCAAAAATTTTAGGGTTTAAATTGATTTTACACTTTTGCAAGATCCAATTTTTTATCATATAAGAAACACTGCATAAACTGTTATATAATTTGAGAAGTTAAAAAAAATTAAGCAATAAAAATTTACACTGAAAAGCAATTCAACACTTAAGAATAAAAAGGGTTTATTTTTTTAAGAATAAAAACAGTTTATTATTGCTATTCTGTATCCCATACAAGTAGATCATAAACAAAAAATTTCCCTTATAAAAATGCCTTATAGAATTCTGTAAAAAAAAAAAAAAAAACTTTAGAAATTTTTAGAATTATGGCCCAATTTTCTATAAACTAAGTCAAAGATCTCTTATAGAATAAAAAAAAAAAAATAGATACAGTTTCTACAGAGTTTGATAAAAAGCTTCTACACAGATTTATAGAGAGATTCTAGGAAAAGTTTGTTTTTAAAGGTTTCACATACAAGAAACTTACATAATGTGTATAGAATCAACTAATAAAATACTATGGAAAATATCAGATGCAGTTGCTAGAAAACTGGGCTATAATTCTAAACAAGTTTCCCCAACTTAAAAATTTTCTATAAAAGATCCTATAGAAGCTTTGGAGAATAAGCACTACAAAATCAACAATTTTTTATAATTAAAAATGAATAAATCAATTTTCCTTTATTTTACAGAATTTTTTAATATAAATTTTGAAATGAACTATTATGGAGGGAGACCAAAAACTTTCTGAACAGGTGCGATTTTTTCCCTGATAAAAAATTTAAATGTCAAATTGATTTTACAAAATTTTTAAATAGAGACATATATTTTAAATAACATTAAGCTTACTTATTATTATTAATAAAACCATTTGTCTTGTCAGGCATAAATTTATAATACATATTATTAATTTCAGGAATTAAATTTTTTTAATTAACTGCATAAATTTAATCTTTTAACTAACTTCATGACAAATTGATGATTTAACGCTTTTACTGAACTCCATTTTTGCATTATATAAACAATACTGTGGAAAAAATTGCACAAAATATTACATTAATTTCAAAGCTAAAGGAGGAAAAAAAAATTTTTTTTTTTTTCATTTTAAAATGACCCTATATTTACGAATTAAACAGCACTAATCTTTGTTCTTCCATGTAGTACATCAAAAAAAAAAAAATGCTTTGATTACAGTTTGAAAAACTTTGCAGATTTCTACAGTGTATCTTACTTTTTATTGATTTTGGAAAGCAACAATTTTACAGAATCCAGTTTTGTAAAAGTTTTATAAAATTTCTATACAATTTTTATAGAGAAGCATTTCTACAGAGGATTACCTACATAAAGCTCTATACGAATTTCTATAAGGTTCCACCTGTTTCTAAGGAAAAAAAATTCATAAAAACTGCTTTGGAAGCTTTGCAAATTTTTCACAGAATAAAACCTATAAAGGCTTATTGACATTTCTGTATGATTTTACAAAGAAAGTACTCTGTAGCTTTCTGTTCTGCAAAAGCTTTTTAAAATTTATACAGAATTTTATACAATAATATCTATGAAGTTCTATAGTAATATCTACACAGCTCTATCAGCTTAATTTTCTAAGAGGTAGCACAAGTCACAAGACCCTCTTCATTCTGCATATACTTTTATGTCTTTATTTTCAAAAAACGTCTAATACACTATTTTTCTCATTAAAATGCAATTCCGTATAGAATGTTCCTGTCGCAGAAATACATGTCCAAGTCAATGAGATTTTTACGCATTTTTAATCCAGGTATAAATACTATTCATGTCAGTCACATAAATCTTAATGCCACGCTTGATTTAAAATTTCTCTAGTGTTTACACGATCAGGTATTCATTTAACTGGAAAGTAAGACAATGAGTTGAATCATGCTTGAAATAACAGGAACAGTGAACATTTCACAGTATAACAGGCACGATGAGAACTTTAAACACCGGGTATTTGTAGCACTGTAAAATGAAAACGTTAGGCCTAAGTAGCGAAAAATAGGCGGGAGAAATAGAAATTTGATGAAATTACTTACATCTTGATCTTTCCCCTTATTTTTAAAACTCTGTAATCTCGATTTATTTACACTGTCTGTAGACATTTTGAAAAGTTATTGTAACACACAACAGAGCACGTTGCAAACAACGCAGCTGAATACCACGAACAACCGCGCTATTATTCTTCTAGAACGGATCAGAAAACAACACTACTGATTTTCCTTACTCCGTCACGGTCTTTCCCTCATTTGCGCGAGACGTGATACATCGTAAAATACAAAGACAGCTGATCAGCGGGGCCTTGTTTCGTTTGCGCACGCTTCATATTCTAATGAATTTTATTTCCGTATAATAATTATGTTTGAGACAAACGGAAGAAAAATTAACTAATCATAAATAAACTTTCCTTGGAAATAAGGCAAAAAATTTGGAAAAGAAACAATTTTTTTTGTCATCCATGCATACATCATTCCTTTTCAGGCTATTCGATATTATTAAATCCGACTTTTATGCGTATCTGGTGTATAACAGCTCAGAAATTTGTATTTTGAATTCCCTAAACTCTATTAAATCCGTATAATACTATATATTTCATGCACAGAATACTACAAAGACCTAAGAAGATCATGCTGTGTGAGAGGGGGGTGTATCCCACAAAACAGGAGGTATGCCATGTGAAAGTTCATATAAGCATCCCGCATGCACATTAAAGAACTATTCAATAAAAAAAAACAATAAGTTTTTTATTTTATCCAAAACAGCATCAGATTTTCGAGTGTCCCATGTATATCCTTAAAATAAGCTTACAGAACATTACAGAAACATTATTATAACATGCACTAGCCATTTTAGGCTTTGGCCACTACTAAGACCAGGAGCCGTGGTCATTTTATCATAGAGACACCTAAAAGTCGGCCACCATTTTCTCCTATGAGTTATCACGTTTATCTTTTAGTATTTTTCATTACATGTTAGTTAATCTTCTTATATTTATTTACGTTTCTGGCGGCATTGGCTCTGGTCATCCTTTTCATTGGACTATGGGCTCTATTCACGACAAGGAGCGTAAATAATGATCTTTTCTTAACGGACGACCGCTAAATTTTACGACTCCAGTAACCATAAGGACTGTTGGTTAAGGCCGATGCTATTCGCACCACCGGTGCTTTTAGCGGCCCATGCTATTCGTACCACTGGTGCGATTAGCCGCTTCAGCTATTCGCACCAACATTAATGCTAATGCGCACCAACATTAATGCTATGTGCACCAACATTCATGCTAATGCGCTCCAACATTAATGCTATGCGCACCAACCTTAATGCTTCAGCTATTCGCACCAACACGCATGCGCATTGATTTGCCGGATCTGTCATTTGAACCCAATCGAAAAGAACGAATTCTACGTACGCGAACTGCCTAAAGTGTTGTAGTGAATACTTTTTTTTTTAAAGGCGGGTTACTACCTTGTCGTAGAAAATATTGTTTACATTTTTTTGTAGTTCTTAGAATACATTTAGCTTCAAAGATGTGTTTTGCGCAATCAAGATTTTAATTCATTCCTCTTTGAAAATTATCGTCCGAGAAAGATAATAAAAATTAGACAGAGGATTTCTGTGTAGAAATTTAGACATGAAATAAGTTAAAAGCGATTAAATCAACTATTAAATGAATAATTAATCATTTAATACTGGTTATTAACAATTCTGTATGCCTGTTTGTTTATTTATTTATTTTTGGAAATACTTGGCATTTTCAGGACACAAAAAGTACTTCAAAGAACTTTGAAATATTAGTACAAACACATTAATAAATTAAATTGAAATAAATAATGGGATGTAATTTAAAAGACAGAAATAATTAATGTAAGAGATTTAGATTTAAAACTTTGCACACACAAATGATTTACAAGATTTTATAAGGTTTTATTTCATAAATAACTTTGATTTTGAAATATGGCATTTGAACCTATAAACATGTGTGAATACTGAAAAAGTGATGAATATATAAGAATATTATAATTTTCAGTAAGTTTTCTTATTGAATAATAAATTCTGATAGTCCTATGTTATAAGACTAGGGTCTAAGTTTCATAAAAATTCCTCTGTTAAATAAAAGAATTTAAGTAATCTCTGTAGCCTTTTTTTCAATACATTAAAGATTTTTCAACTAATTACACGTCCTCGTTTGCAATTATAACCATCATTAAATCCCTATTTCATCTAATCATTTTCTGAACATTATGATGTATATAGATTGACCTCCTCTTTGTAACTGATAATTATTACTCGTACTTGCAAATTATTCTCTTGCTGAACTATTAACAACGCTTTCTATTGCTGAGTTAGAAATAACAACCTTCGCTCTCTCTACCGCCTGCCTTACGGAAATCGGCGCAAAATGCTGGAATCTGGGCTGATTGGGTGCATGCGCGAACGTAGGTGGTGTGAATAGTCTCTTAGCTATTCGCACCGTCGGTGTGATTAGCTACTGCGGCTGTATCTCTTGGCAGAGATATTAGTATCGCTTTACGCGTCGGTGCGATTAGCTACCTCGCTGTATCTCTTGGCAGAGATATTAATATCGCTTTACGCAGAGCGAGCGAAAGTTTGCTCGTGGCCGAGCTGGAAAAAAAACGAGAGAATGTTTCTCTCTCTACTTACTGCAACTAACTCTCACTTTTTCTCTCCCTCTGGAACTACGTTCCATGATTTTTTCAAATTGTCCTGGGCGTTTCGGAAAAACTACCAGGATTCTTATTTGTCCGTAATTTTTAGAAGCGCCTCTTAATTGGCGACAGCACTTTTATTAACAACTGGATATGATGAAGACAGCCTGGGAAAAAGTCCGTGGGAACTTTTCGATTCCAACTGGGGTCTCCAATCGGGTGGTCTGAGACACTGAACCTATAAACTGATGAAAGGAAACTGAACAATGTCTCCTTTCGAACAACTATTAGAGGAACAAAAAAAGCTGAGATTGTTTTGTGACTGCTGGTCACTTCCTCTTTCCGAGAATTCGCTATGAAATACTCTGTCCTTAGGAACTTTCCAGGTGGTCATTCCTTTTCTGAGAACTTCGTGAGGGTCGATAAATAGCTTAAGACGTTACAGTAGTCTTTTTGTCAAGCCACTAAAGATTTTTTAACTAATTACTCGTCCTCGCTTGCAATTAGAACCCTCATTAAATCCCTATTTTATCTAATCATTTCCTGAACATTATCATGTATATAGATTGACCTCGTCTTTGTAACATAATTATTACTTGCAAATTATTCTCTTGCTGGGGAACTATAAACAACCCCTTCAAATGCTGAGTTAGGGTTAACAACCTTCGCTCTCACTACGCCTGCCTTACGGAAATCGGCGTAAAATGCTGGTACCTGGGTTAATTATACGCATGCGCGAATGTAGGTGGTGTGAACAGCCTGTTAGCTATTCGCACCGTCGGTGCGATTAGCCACTGTGGTTGGTTAAATTGGCATTCGTGACAACGACCGTCGGAGGGATCCTTGCGGTAAGTAACCTTCGTTCGAGAGTTGGGGAAGTTCATTAAAATAAGCCAATCATATTACAGCTACTAGAGATACAGGCTGCTCGTCATCCATGTTCTAGCGTAGGCCTCGTGCTGTAGCCACGCTTTAGGGTTGTTATTGAGGTTTGGGGTGCTATCTTTGGGCCCTATTCACGACAAGGAGCGTAAATAACGATCATTTTTTAACGGAAGACCGCTAAATTTTAGGACTCCAGTAACCGTAAGGACTGTTGGTTAAATTGGTATTCGTGAGAACGACCGTCGGAGGGATCCTTGCGGTAAGTAACCTTCGTTCGAGAGTTGGGGAAGTTCATTAAAATAAGCCAATCATATTACAGCTACTAGAGATACAGGCTGCTCGTCATCCATGTTCTAGCGTAGGCCTCGTGTTGTAGCCACGCTTTAGGGCTGTAATTCAGGTTTGGGGTGCTATCTTTGGGCCCTATTCACGACAAGGAGCGTAAATAACGATCATTTCTTAACGGAAGACCGCTAAATTTTAGGACTCCAGGAACCGTAAGGACTGTTGGTTAAATTGGCATTCGTGACAACGACCGTCGGAGGGATCCTTACGGTAAGTAACCTTCATTTGAGAGTTGGGGAAGTTCATTAAAATAAGCAAATCATATTACAGCTACTAGAGATACAGGCTGCTCGTCATCCATGTTCTAGTGTAGGCCTCGTGTTGTAGGGTCAGCGCTAAATCCCCGAACGCGCAGGGAGGTCACGTGATCGTCACTTCATGTGTAAGCCGACGTCACAACGAAGCTCCGGCCAGCATCAACAACAACTTTGGTCGATGTAAACATAGTTCGCAACTTTGATTCGGAAATCTGGAATAAGTCTTTGTGGATATCTGTGAATATGTATGTTTGAACGATTTCGAGCATTCTGAATGGCTTGGTTATGTTTCTCCGTATAAGAAAGCGAAAGAATAAATAGTATTAATGTTTTAAATTGGTCTTGTATAGAAAATATAGTGCACGTAAAAAAATCTTCAGTAAGTTTCTAGTATTAGATATTTTTATATGATACGATTGCTTTGTCAAGTTCACTGATTAAGCCACTTAACAAATTTTAGCCAAAATTCTACGGGCAAATTTCTATAAATTTTCCTCTTTCAAAGAATATTCAGAATAAAACTGGGATTATGGTAACCTCACAATAAGATAATAATTTAATTCACAATGGACTGTGAATAAAAAAAATATAAATAAACAGTATTATCTGTTACTTTGTAATCAGACCTTAAAAATAGATTATAAGTTTTTGAAAATGCCAATCAACTGCATTTCCGTACATTATTTGCTATTTTTTCTCGTGTCATATCATTCATCATCATGGGCAAACTTGTGAATAAAATTTATATAATTGCTACTAAAACATCTGTGTGTTTTATTGGATTTATGATGCTTGCATAATAACAGATATTTGTTATGCCACCATTCATACTTGTGGATAAATATCTCTCATATAACAGTTTATAATGATATCAACACAATTAGAAACTGAATTTGTTTTCGCCAGGCAAACTGGAATTTGTGTTTGCTCACTTTCAAAATGAATTTAGTTTTATCCAAAATCTAGGCTCCTATTTTTTTTTACCTAATTTTAAATAGTTTCCTTGCCAATTCAATAAAGTTAAAAAAAAAAAAAAAAAAAAAGGTAGACAGTTTCTATTCTCCGATTTCGCAAATCAACAGTTACATAAATCAGAAATTACAGA